CATCCCCTCTGCCGCATTAGCATAATAATCGTAACTGTATATTCGAGATGTCCGCCCTCGGTGCGATCGCCAACCCTTCCGAGTGCTCTGGCTGGAAATTCCCTTCGGGTCCCCCTTCTCTCTGAAAAAGAAAAAAAAAGTGGGGGGCAGATTAAATCTCTATTATCCGAGGGCCGGGGAAAGAACTTTCAAAAAATCTCGGGCCCCCGGCTAAAGCTGGCTCTCCAGGGCTCTTGGCATGCACCTCCTTAGGTAAGGGATGAAAAAAAAAAAAAAAAAAAAAATTCAAGCTCGCCTCGATTCCCTCGTGGCTGCTCGTGCGCTACGACAACACACCCCAGACGCGCGCCCTCTTGCCTGCACTTCCGCGCGCACCGCTCCCTCCCTCTCTCTCTGTGTGTGTGTGTGTGTGTGTGTGTGTGTGTGTTGGGTGTATACGCGCGCGAAATGGGCGAGGAGAGGGGCACGACGACTGTTATTGATTTTCCAAATGCCCGCTCGTTACGCGACTTATGGGGTTCGCTCCCTCTTGGACGCCCCTGCAGCTTCCTCCTCCTCTCTACTCCTCCTTTGTGTGCCCAGTTATATACCTATGTACGCGGGAAATGCAGTGTGCTTGCGCCGGACGATGCTTAGGGGGGGGGGGGCTTGGGAGGATGTAGCATAGGGAGGCCGCCAAGGTGCGAACAAGCTGTCTCGCTCCCTCTCTTGCAGCAATGCGCAGCAGCCACTTTGCCGGGCAGCCAATATACCTCCTATGTGTACCCACCGAGCTTCTCCTCCCTGCGCGCTGCTACGCGTATAACTGTATACTCTGCTGCTCTGCTGCTACTCCCTTCTTGTAGATGGGACACTTGCGGTGGGTATTATTATACAGCCACCGAGTCTCCCTTGCTTTCTCGTTCAACCAATTCGAGAAATATATTGTGTAGTGGTGATGGTAGTTACCGACCGAGAGAGAATCTACCGTATACGTATGAGCCTCGAGAGCTGGTCCGCGCTCCTGTGACTGTATTATTTTATGCTAAAGAAGGGCGAGGGGGAGGATTATCCGTTTAAAACTTGTACAAATTCTGATTGGGATTCGGAGGGTCGCGTTTCTCCGTGGGAAGGGTGGATGGTTGTTGCGTGAATTCACGCGCGAGTGGATGCCCGATGGGGGGTGGGGTCGCTGCTCGGCTAATTTTGATGTTTGCCCGAGGGACGAACGGGCGCGTGAATTGGTTTGAGCGACGGATCATTATGTTCAAGTGCTAAGGGAGGGGTTGGGCCGTGGGGCGAAATCATACGCTGCAAGTGTTTTGTTTGCGGCACGTTGTTTGGTCTGACGAGGGCAATTGACTCTCGGGTGCGAGTGTCGTCTGTACAACTTGAATACCAACGATTTTTCTATTCTTTTTTTTTCACGCAATTGCTTGTTAAACAGGAGTCAGTACTTTTTTAAAGTTAGGGAACAAAAGTATCGAACATATTTATTCTGAGCTAATGTTTTATGTTGTTTTTTATTTGAGGGGAATTTAGTTTCCGATTTTTTTGTCAGCGAGAACTTTTACTTACATTTCACGGCATATGTTAAAGTTGAAAATGTTCCTTGTGATGTTGCGAAACAAATATATAATTTACGTATACAAATTTATAAATCGACTGAATGGCTTTTTAAAATGATCAAGTGTATAATATTATTGAACTATACATAATTGATATGTCTGACCGATTCGTGACTGTTACTACTCACTAATAAGTTTTTAATTAAAATAAAGGGTATGAAATTTTCTTACATAAAATAGATGCGTCTGACCAATTCGTGACTGTTACTACTCACTCCTAAAATTTTTATTAAAATCAAGGGTATGGATTTGCTTCGATATTTATAATGGAAATGCCTGACCAATTTGCGACTGTTACTACTCACTGCTAAATTTTTATTAAATTCAAGTGAATGAATTTTTTTTACAAAATAGATACGTCTGACCAATACGTGACAGCTACTTCTTACTACTAAATTTTTATTTAAATCAAGTGTATGAATTTTCTTATAGAAAACTGATATGTCTGACCGATACGTGACTGTTACTACTCACTGCTAAATTTTTAACTAAAATCAAGCGTATGAATTTTCTTATACAAAAAAAGACGCGTCTGACCGATTCGTGACTGTTACTACTCACTGATAATTTTTTAACTAAAATTATGTGCATGATTTTTTTTTACACTAAATAGATGGGTCTGATCAATTTGTGACTGTTACTACTCACTGCCAAGTTTTTATTAAAATCAAATGTATGAATTTGCTTACATATTCATAATAGATTCGTCTGACCAACTCGTGACTCTTAATACTCACTCCTAAATAAAACTATTAATTAAAAAGAAAAATGGAAGAAAAAAATTACTATAGCTGCATTTTATGTATATTATGATTAACCATGCACGAGCAGTCTAACGAATAGCCTATTGTAAAAATTGGATTAAAAATCGAACAATCGCTTTTCCGACCATTGTTTTTCCTCTTCCAGTGCATAGGCATTTATTTACGCGTACTAGCCCGACTGCGTAAACCAGAAACAAAACAAAAACAAAAAATCAACAAACGTAGCGTAAGAGCTTTCTGTGGAAAAGAGCTCGTTGACATATGCACCGTCTGTGCACACAAACGCGAGCACAGGAAGTAGATAGCGTACATTCAACGAGAAAACGAAAAAAAAGGTCAGCTGGAGCCTAAGTACAAACGCCATCGTCATTATGCGCACAAAAGAGAGTGTTTTTCTCCGCTTATACATCCGACCCTTTTTTTCCCCCTAAAGTCATCCCAGTCGATCGTCCGGGTTTTCACAACTTCGCTCTTAGTATACGTACGCGTGTGCTTATCGGCACCACCAACGCATGTGTATTATTATAGCCATCGTGGGGAAAATCGCCGCGGGCCGAACTGAGTTTGCGGTCTCTTTCTGCGTGTACTCCATGTCCTTATACCACCGGGAAAATACGTGCTTTCATCCGCGACCAGATGGGGAAAATATATTCGACGTTTGTTGTCGCACCTACGTGAAACAAGAGGGGAAACGGACTGGTGCCTCGAGTGTGAGGTACATATACTCGAATGTGCTCGAGAGTTTTCGCGTTACAAGTAGCGCAGTTGGGATTACGGAAGAGCCAACATCGGCTGAGCAATGTAGGTCAAAGTTTGTAAGACAATGGGAACGGGGATGCAGAGACGCAGAATGCCAGCGATGGGTGTGCGACCGAGATGCGAGTGTACAGCCATCAGCCACTCTCGCTCCTGTTATATATTTATGATGTTGGAAATGCTCGATGCATCTCTCCAGGCTTGCGTGTACTTTCGTGCGTTGAATTATGTTCTGATGCGTCGGTGGAATTAAATCAACTATTTCACGCGGGAGGGGAGAAATTTAATTATTCTAGGAAGATTTTCGCTTTACACAAACACGCGTAAAAAGTATATCAGGGGTAATATTACTATCTATTGCAAGCTGCAGTACAGTCGTCGTCGTTGCATGCGTATGCCTATAATCCTAGGGGTTTTTTTTTTTCATTACATTGTTATTTGTTAGTTTTGCAAAAGCTGAATTTCTTTCCATGAGAGTTTCTTGCACAAATTATCAAACAAGTGTACGGCAAGTTTTTATTGCAAAAGTTTTTTTCGTCACTTGATCAAAAGGTATTGCGAAGAATTCATAAATCATTGAATAAATTGCAACTTTTATGAAATATATTTTCTTTACTTCTCATATAAAGAACATAATATACAAACTGCATTCACGTGCGAAGAAGAATTACAAAAATAATTGACGTTACAATAAATTAATCACCTTAAATAATATACTATAAAATGTAATACAAGCAAATTCTTTTTTTTCGAGAGAGACAGAGAGAACAATCACCACTAACTTTTCCACCTTCGGAGATTCAAACCCACGCGCTACAATTTATTGCATACCAGCGTATATACATTACATATGTGTTTGTCGAATTAGGGATAATTTCCAAAGCCCACTGTTTTTTAACGATTTTGCAATATCAATAGTGAATTGGAAATGTTGTAATATTTGAGAACCGCTACAGTAAGTTGTGCTCACACATGAATTAATAATAAACTCTTGTTATTTGTATAAACATTCTAGTGTACATAAAAGAATAGTGGTTGATTACCATTCATTTGATGAAAATATTTACTGTGTATAACAATGAAAATTAAAATTTTACTTCTCTACGGGTTTCATTTATAAAATGATATGTCAAATCGTATTTTTACCGGTTTTAATAAGAAAACTTTAGTTCCAATTTCAAATAAGCATGCATCTTATTGCTATCGCGGATATATACATTGATGAATGAAAGTATATTTTTTTAAACGATTTTGCCATTGAATTGTATTGATAATTAATTAAGAATGTAAGAATCTTTTTATTTTCTTATCTATTTAGCTAGTTGTTAATTGACTTCTATGACGATTAAATTTTTACAGAATCATGTTATTTTACATTACTACTCGTACTATAATTTTTATAATTGTTAATTACAAATTACACAAAGTTATTCCAGTTCTGATTAAATAATTTTCGTTATCTAATGCAATGCCCTTGAAGAATATAATTATATAAAAATTTGCTAAGTAAGAAATTAAAAATTCAACAGAATTCAAACACAAAATCGTTACTTGAACAACTTTTTAGTTCTATTTAACTGCAATTTTCATAACACACAAAAGTAGTTCCAGTAAATAACACAAGAAATGTCCGATACGACTTTTATACACGAAAAATTTTTAACTTTTCAGTATCATTTATTCGTATCATACACGTTTTTACATACGTTAAAGGTCACTCAAGACTATGTACCTTTTTCATGTATAAAAGTTAAGTACAGAATAAACTCTTGCACATTTCAGTGATGTTTTTTATGATTACATCAGAGCAGATTTGACTATACAAAACAATTTATTATTGCTTATTTATTTTTATTATTAAAAGAAAAGGGAAACAAACTAATGTATATATATATATAAATATAATTTTTTACTTTGTGCCTTTGACATTTTGATTTAAAAATAATAGCTTTGATAAATTCATCGACATTCCAATTGTTTCATAATATTTATACAATATATGCTAAAGCAGGAGGAAAAATTACTTTTCCCACAACTCTTTCCCTATATCTTGAAGAATAATAGTCTTTTTTTCCTTAGATTATGTAACTTTCAAATGGTACTTTTAATTCTAGTTTATCAGTTCAAATAAAAAATTACCATGTCTAACTTTTGCTAATTTCAAACGTATCCTCATCATGGTAAATCATGGAATGTAATTGATTTTTCACAGTGTAATAAATTTTTTAAGATTACATAGTATCTCCGAAAAATCGTTGATTAATTCTGATAAATTATTTGAAAAACTGTAATAAAATAATAAATAAGCAAATTCTTATTTTACAAAAGCAGCTATACGATTTATACAAAGGCGAAGCGTTTTTAAAGTAACTGTTATTCTTTTTGATATTATTAATTATGGTAAAATAACATTAGAAAATTAAAACTAACAAATAATTTAATTAAAACTCATACTTATTTAAGTGATGCTTAAGCGATTCCAAATAATGTCCCAGTTATAATTAAGTATTTAAACATTACAAAGCATGTGATCCTTAAAAAATGTATATCCTTCAAGTTAAATTATACTTATCTACCCCCATTGACTATAAATGAACTATTGTTGAACACTTTTGCTATACAAGACAGAGTATAAGAATTAAGAATTATTGACAGTCGCAGAAAACCTCTACTCCTCTAGGTTAGACGTTTTTTTTTTCATTTTTGGTACTTAAATCAACATAAATAATTTTCATCCTATATTTGATTTCTTAAAATTAACACTCGGCACAAAACCTCGTCACAGAAAGTCTTTCTTTCTACTTGTATAATATATTTATCATAATTTTTTTTATTTTCTCTATTTATTGATAATCAAAGGAGACTCAATGAGTAAATCCTTGGGCACGTGAAAATGTTGAGCAATGATCACTCAGCGATTTGCTCAACGTGCGATTAAGAATTGATACCATGAGCTAGAAAATAATAGTAAAAAATAAAAGAGAATTTATTATGATGTCAACTCATAATCATTTTACTAAGTTATTTTTTTATTCTCTTTACAAGTATCTCTGTAATTTACAAAATGATGTCCAAATTTCGATTCAGTTGCATTCTAATGGGAAAGTCAATTCCATCGAAACTTGAAGATCACGCGAGTTAAGAGATTTAATGATTTCCATACACTTCGATTTTTTGCTAAGCAACGCTCGAGCTTATAAATTACTTTTTCTATATCGATAAATGACACAAAAATAATCTCTAACGTTTTCTCGCTCGTAATAAAAAGTACATGGAAGTTTTTGATTAAGATATGGTATAAATACGTTTACCGGTACATTTTGGCATTCACTCGATGTTTAGTCAAATTTTTCGTTTCATTATTATCAGTGTGGGTATGTTGTGCTAGGTTTACAAAAAAGAAGGGGAATGCATGTACAAAAACTGGAAAGCAAAATCTTATTGGTCGTTGATAAATTTGTTTCTGTCATGCTATGCATAAATTTATACTTATTTCCATGTTGGTTTTTTTTTTTTTACAAGATTATTGACGTCTATAATTGTTACACTTCGCAAAGGATGTATTAAGAAATACAGGGTTGATATCTCATTCATATGCATTTTTTAAGCTGTAATAATGAGCTTCATTCGCACCTGTGCTTATTTTTAATTAGTCATTGTTTCTTTTTATACATCATTCTTTTGTCTTTAGCAAAGTCCACGAAAATCACTACGTTAACTATTTAATTTTATGCATTATCCAGCATCTCATTCATAACTTTTTAACACAATTATATATGTACACATGTATATGTATATAAATGATATATGTATGCACATATAATTTACCATATCGAAGATACTTCGACGAGTCGTTTCTAGTGTTGTTTTTACTCGAGGGAGGGTCTGTTTCACGATACACACGCTCCGAGAGAGAAAACTTTATTGGTGTTTTGGTTACCAGCTCATAATTTGTGATTGCTAGTCAGCCACGTAAGACCTTCGTACAGGCCATCGCCCGTTGTGGCACAAGATGGTTGCACGAACCAGTTTCGGTCTCGTATCCGCGTGAGGCCGAGCTTTTCTTGGATCTCATGTGGCTTCATCGCTAAGAGTGAACGAAAAGACTTTATCAGAAATTTTTTTTTCAAAAGTTCTTATTATTTAAACGTTATTACTTAAAAAAAAATGCTTACAATCTGGAAGATCCTGTTTATTGGCAAATATAAGAATAATGGCATCTCGCATTTCTCTGTCATTGATGATCCGATGAAGTTCCTGCCGCGCTTCATCAATTCGATCCCTGTCAGCACAGTCGACTACAAAAATTAGTCCTTGTGTTCCCGTGTAGTAGTGACGCCACAGCGGGCGAATTTTATCTTGACCTCCCACATCCTGCAGAATTACAAATGTTTTCATTCAAGTTTTTATGAAAGAAGTTGTACTTGAAAACAAACAAATTCGTGTTTTTACTTACCCATACATTAAATTTGACGTTTTTGTACGAGACTGTTTCCACATTGAAACCTACAGTAGGTATGGTTGTCACTGACTGTCCTAATTTAAGTTTGTACAGAATGGCTATTTTCGATCAGTTAAGGGATAATAAAAATACTGCTATGCATTGCGAAAATAAAAATAATAGCAGGTACTTAGTTACAAAAAAAAAAAAAATATCAAATGCGTGTTATGTGCTGTATGTGTAGTTTTTGTAATTGATTATTAATAGTTTATTTTCATTGCTCTGGTACATTTATATTTTACGGAGTAGTGTCACTCATTTCTATTAACAGAATTATTTGTTTTCGATATGACTGTATTGAAGTATAGATAAACTCATGTAATCATTTAACAATTTTATCTGAGAAATAACTAGAAACGAAAGAAATGTAAAATAAAAAATACTAATTTTATTTAATATTTTGCGTTAAAAAAATTAAATAGTATTTTAAAAAGTGTAAAATTTGTTTTAAAGTGTTAAAATCAAAAAATGACGCGAAAAGCATGTAAAATGATACAAAGTTGAAAATAATATGACGCTACTCTAATGATCTCCTGCCATGTATTTGAATGATAAAAAAAGGATACTGGTCTTGCCTGCTGCATCCAAACCTAACATGAGAATGCGCATCTCCTTGTTGCCAAAGATCTTTGACAAGAGTTTGCCCATCCTGCTGGCACACTTCCTACGCAGCTGGCACCTAGATAAACACAAAAAGTACCTCTCATTATTAGCTCATCTTTCTATTGATTTATCTATTAATAGGAGACATAATTTTTTACTATCTCTCTCTCTCTCTTTCTCATATTAAATCATTACGCTGTGTTTAACGTTTAAAATTTAAACATGAGAAATCTTGCAGTATGATTACAATGATTATTTAGTCTTTCAATAAATAAAGTTTATGTAGCAGCCATGCTTGATGAATTATTAAATATGTATGTACGATAAGTTACATGTTTATTGTAACCACTGTACAATTGATGAAAAAATTTCATTTTTAAATGTCTAACATTTAAATATGTATACACTGTCAAACTATACAGTCAAGGTATTATTTACTATAGATATTCAGTGAAATTTAAAACTAGACAGTAATAATATATGCATTAAATTTACTTTGAAAACAATCTAGTATTTTCTGTTTAAACCTTCAAACGTTTTACAAGCCAATATATTACAAGAAAACGTTTTTCTATTATCAACATTTCTCATTGGAACAATCAACAGGTGTCTCAAGTAGACCAAAAATTCAAAGAATTCTAGAAAAAACGAGCGATTGTTATGTATGCAGCTACTCAATGAATTTTACGACACATACACTGACAGAGATAGTTACTGAACAGCTCATCAAAAAAGCTCTGGATAGAGATAGAAAAGAGTAATGAGAACATACACATACCTAACACTTGTATATAAAGAAGTCTACAATATGCAAGGCTTTTGATGAACAATTGATTTCAAAAGTAGGTGTAGCTGTCACATCCTGCTCACTCGAATAGAGAGAAATAACATATTTCCATGTGTTGCTTTACACAGTTTTTTTGATAAAAATTTGATAAACCTTATCAGCAAGAAGAAGAAAATACTTTTCGGAAAAGTATGTGTAAAACGATACTTTTTAAACAACTCAACACTTTTGATTTTGCTTATAAAATACTTTGAAACAATTTAAGTGTAGGTATGCTCTTTTTAGACTTTTGACTGCAAGAAAAAAAAATTATTCTCATAATAGTCAACTCTCATTGAATTATTCCACGTCAAATAATAGTACATAAGTAATAGTAGTAGCTTCGATGACGCTCTTTGGGCTACACACACACACACACATGCACTCACTCACTTACTCATATACTCATCCAAGTCACACGCCACTACCGACTTAGGTCTTTGGTATGCGAATAGAATGAGAGGAGGAAAGAAAAACGTTGTGTGCAAAAGGTAAAGAGAGAGAGAGAGAGAAATATATATATTTTGCCCGGCTTACAGTTAGCATTAAATATAATATCTTTCTCATGGAGGAAAAGGTTAAATACTATAACTGAGTGTGCAACTGCAAATGCGAATGCTACCTATAAAGTTCTCGGAGACGAGGTCGAGAAACAAGACACGTTAGCTTAGGGCGCGGCTGTGTGTGTATTTATGCATGCATGCATGTATTACAACATATGAATGAACACATAACTGCATGTATAAAATATAGCTAAACTTGGAAACAGCTTGTCTCATCGCATGAAGAAATCGTCAAGTTTTAGGTAAGTATATACCAAAAGAAAAGAAGGAAAGAGAAGTAAAGTAATGGTCAAGGTAGAAGGCAGTGTTGCAAATTTATAAATGTTCAATTATGAGAAAAATTAAGGGAAGAAGAAAGGGGTCAACGGACTTTGTTAGATGTTTGCAAATACCTACGCGCAATGTTATTGAAATTATTAAAGACAGATCGAAAATTCACGTGCTTATTCACCCACACATGTGAGATATCATTAATAAATAACAAACACTTTTTCTTATTGCCTTAAACACAGATATGCAATTCTTTGGCATACACAAGTGACCACCAACACTCACCAAATAACATTAACACTATCAACAGAGTTGTATTCTTTCGTTATCATCAGCCACGACACAGCACATCACAAATAAATATTACACATCCTCGACTATGACGTTGTACGATCGCGATAGTGACAAGGATGATTGGTTTGTGTAATGTGATGATCAGATATCAGTTGATGCCGCCTTCTTGACGTGTCCTCGGTGTCCTCCGTGTCACTCCCACGACCCACGGGTGTCCGGGTTGTAGTTGGTTAATCACTCAGGCACCTTTTATTCGCACGCGTCTCCGTTTTTTCTTTCCTTCCTCCCCCTTTTTTCACCTCGTTGTAAAAAAATATGCAAGGGTAGAGTGTGTCACATTTACACACCAGTTTAGTTTACCAGTTGGTACAGGTTGGTGAATTCAGTTGAGATTTTTTTTTCTGGCAGACTTTGCAGTCCTTGCAGATGCAGAGACACAAGAGACAAGACACATGCACTCATACGGAAGCCCGGTCACGACATCTACATAAAACATAAAAACTGAGAAGAGTGCATGTCATCACTGCATGAGAATAAAGCGCACACACACAAGTTGCAAAGTAGACGGTTTCTATTTCATTTACTCAAGTGTGTATACAGCTTATAATTAATTGTTACATCGTTACGTGGGAAAGAGATTTGTTAAAAAAAAGAATATCTAATATAAAATATATTATAAAATAGATAATCTATCTTTTATACTTTATTCATATATTTACTTTGGATTTTGTCATTCTGGTAAAGAGAGCACGGTGTAAGATATACGTGAAGTTATGTGTAGTAATTATAGTAATCACTACTAAGTAGTGCCATTTGGTCGATTTTATTAAACCATATAAGTAAAATATCTATACGTTTGGAGGTCGATTTTCGGGTAAAAAATAAATTGTAAACTTGCCGCAAACAGCACAAACTACGTCAAATTTTTATTATCTATTTATAAGATTAGTTGCGGCTGGTTTATAATTAATTAAATTGCTCTAATGTAAGTAGTAATAATTATTTGGATCAGCGCCATCTAGCGTTGCGGATTTTTGAACTAAAAAGTGGCCCTAAACTTTTGAACCAGAGCTTTAGCGCTTAGAGCCACTTAACCTATCATAAACCAGCCGCAACTTATCTTGTAGCTATAAAATAAAAAAATAACGGTACATGT